CACACTGGAATCCTGTATGTGTGTTTCAGAGTCACAGCATACATCAATGGAAAGAGACTCTAGGGTTTTAGCCAAGGAAGCCTGCTGACCGATTTGACATAGAGTGCGTACGTTGAAAGCTCCAATGGGTAGTTTGGAGCGAGGTTTCAGTAGACCTGGGACAGAGTTTTGAGCACTAGAATCGTTGGCTATAGTGACACTTGAGGAGGAAGCCGAAAGAGGAAGTTTAGCGTTGGAAGTCGATGTAGGAGGAATAATGGGAATTGAAGACGGAGGTTTATTATGAATACAGTGGTCTCGAGTGCTGTTAGAGGTATGAGGGCGGTTATCACTTCCCGGTTGCCCACACCGTGGAAGGGTTCTTCTGGAGGTACCTGAAAAGGAAATTGGATTAGAGGCGATCTCAGCGACCTGAGAGCGTTACCGCAGTGCCCAAGGGACAACTGCTTGAGGCCGGTCGCGTACGGCCTTTTCGTGGGAGGTTTTTGACGTGCTAGCTCCGTTCTTCAAAGGGCCTTATCGCCGGAGACGGAAATCCGTGAGGTAGGGTGAGGTGCGCATTTTTAGGGTCGACCTTTTCTAATCCCACCCCTCCTTGTGAGAAGGCAGCATTACTGCTGATGCTAGTTTTCCGAGGGAAACACCTTACTGCTGTCACACCCCTCTACAGTCAGCAGTACGACTTCGCCCTCAGACCTTGAGTTGCTGCTTTTAGTCTTACCGTTCTCCAATCGACCTGTCTGACATGGTAGGACCTTGAGGATTGGTTGTTCCAGTCAGGTAGTCTACACCTACCAACATGACTCAGTCCACTTGTCAGTGACTTCATGAACTTGCGCCATGTTTTGGTCTGGCCACCCCTAGCTTTCTTCCAATCTGCTCCTATACAACAAAACATCGCACATCGAGGCAGTCGGTGGTTGGACATACGTAACACATGTCCCAGCCATCTCAACTGATGAAGTTTCACTACGTCATCAATTGATTTGCCATCCTTAATTAGTACCCGTTTCCTAACAACTGCATTACTTACTCGATGGTCCCAGGATATACGAGCAATGCTTCGAAGACACCTATGATCAAATACCAGTAACCTACGAATATCCTCTACTCTTATCGTCCATGTTTTACTGTCATAAAGTAGGACGGAACGAACTGCTGCGCAGTAAACCCGTCCTTTGGTTGATAGACGGGTATCTCGCCTACGCCATAAATGACGCAAGTCGGCAAAGCTAGTCGAGCCTTCTGTATTCGTGGTGAGATTTTGTCACACACCAGACAACAAGGGCTGATGAGACTTCCAAGATAAGTGAAGCGATCGACACGTTCAATTACCTCACTCCCTATCATCAGCTCGGGTGTCAATGCAACCCAATCCTGAAGCAACATTTTGCATTTCGAGGGGGAGAATCGCATCCCGAACATGCTTGCATTGTTGCTTAGAGTGGTCAGAAGACTCTGTATTTTGTCAGCGTCTTCGAGTAGAGAGCCTTTATAAGGTTAATGTACTTCTTTGGTACTCCTTTCAGTGACAACACTGCCATAGAACCTTATGATCAACAGAGTCGAATGCCGCCTTAAGGTTGAGAAATACTGCAATTATGGGGCGTCTGAATGTGTGTCTATGTTCTAGAACCTGACGTAGTGTGAATATCTGATCTATACAACCACATCCAGGTCGAAAACCAGCCTGATTTTCTCTAGTCTGTTCTTCACGTGCTATGGTTAGGCGTCGAAGTATTATTGAAACTAATATTTTAGACACTATATTAGTCAAACTGATTCCTCTGTGATTGTCACAAGAGGACTTTTATCCTTTCTTATAGACTGGCACGATCAGTGATTGAGACCAGTCAGATAGGATTACGTCCAGTTCCTAGATTCTACCCAAGACCTCAGTTAATTTCACTGCTAATACTAGACCACCATCCTTAAAAATCTCAAGAGTAAACCTATCAGGACCTACTGCTCTCCCTCTCTTCAGACTTCCTATGGCTTTTTCAACTTCATAAGAAGACGGAGGACCTACATTAACTTGACTGGAGATCGTGAAAAACCGAAGTGTGGCTGAAGGCCAGTTGAACTGATCCGTAAAGTGTTCTGCCCATCGATCCAATCTCCTGGATTGAGAATGAATAATATGTCCATCTTTCTCTCAGAGTGTTTCGCTAACAGTCGGATTCCTAATACCGGTTTCCCTAACGAGTCTGAAGAATTGTCTGCTATTATCTATTGCCGCTGCCTTTTCCATCTCTTGCTTTCGCTATCCACCACTGTTCGCCATCATTGCGTAGACTTCTTGTCAGCTTGCGCTTAAGCTGGCTTCGCTCTTCATTATGTTCAGAGCCAGGTGGAATGTGTTTCCGAGCATTTGTCAGTGAGATAGATGCTGCTGAGATCCAGTGTTGCTCCCTAGCCTTCTGGTTTACCTTACTAGCAGATATCACTGCTGTTTCCACAGCTTTTCGGATATCATTCCATGCTGCATCGGGGTGGGCATCACATACATGGCTGCCTAACTGTTTTCCTAGTTGTTCCTGAAATATACTCTTAGCTTGACTATCATTAAGTAGGGCCCTAAGAGGTTTCCTTGCAGCGTCATTCCTACGTTCGGTAAGACGCAGGCAAATACGCGCTCGTACTAAAGCATGGTCTGAATCTAGGCATGTGCTCCAGAATGAGCGACAGTCTTCTATCGAGCCCCTTCATCGGTGGCTGATAGCGATGTGATCTATTTGGGTCCAACGTTGGGACGAATTAGGGGGTCGCCATGTTAAAAGATGTTTTTCCTTATGCTTAAAGTTAGTATTTGCAAGGAACAGGCGGTTATCCGAGCATAGCTGCAACAGACGGTCGCTATTATCTGTTCTTTGAGCCACACTACTATAAGATCCACCCAGGGGTCTCTCCCGTTCTCTTAGTTTGCCTACTTGAGCATTAAAGTCACTAGCCATTATTACTACATCAGAGCGCCTAGCTTTTCGGAGAATGTCGGAAAACTTTGTGTAAAACTCATCTTTTACATCATCTGAGCTGCAGTCAGTGGGAGAGTAGACAGAGACGACGAAGAGGCAAAGACGAGTGTCCCTGTCCTTCCGAGTCCCTAGTGTTCCGTTTAGTCGGACAACGCACAAATGACTGTCTACTGGGATCCAGTCTAAGAGAGCTAGTTCTGCCCTAGGACTCAATGCTATATCTACTCCAGCGAGGCCGCGGGAATCAGCATCAAGGCTTCCAGATACAGGAAGTGTGAATCGAGTTGGTCCTTTATTTTGACATGGTGAGGTCAAATGAATGACGCTGCTCGGATCCTGTATGCACGTTTCAGAGACGCAGCACACATCGATGGCGCAAGATTCTAGAGTCCTAGCTAAGGAAGCCTGTTGTCCTATTTGGCACAGTGTCCGGACGTTAAAAGCTCCTACGTGTGGTTTAGAACGTGGTTTCAGGAGATCAGGAATGACGTTCCGCGTACTCGAATCGTTCGCCCTAGCGGTGCGAGGTGTTAAAGGGACGTGAGGAGGGTTAGTCATGGAGATGAGATAGTTATTAGGAGGTGTAAGAAGGATTTGAATGTGACCAACTTGGTCTCGTGTGCTGTTACGGGTATGTGTGCTGATATCACCTCCCGGCTGCCCACACCGTGGAAGGGTATTTCTTGAGGAACCTAAAAAGGAATTCGGATTAATGTCGGCCTTAACGGCCTTGGAGCGTGACCGCAGAGTCCAGGGGACAACTGCTTGAGGCCGGTCGCGTACGGCCTTTTTGTTAGAGGTTCTTGACGTGCTAGCTCCGTTCTTCAAAGGGCCTTATCGCCGGAGATGGAAATCCGTAAGATGAGGTGAGGTGTGACATTTTTAGGGTCGACCTTTTCTAATCCCACCCCTCCTTGTGAGAAGGCAGCATTACTGCTGATTCTAGTTTTCCGAGGGAAACACCTTACTGCTGTCACACCCCTCTACAGTCAGCAGTACGACTTCGCCCTCAGACCTTGAGTTGCTGCTTTTAGTCTTACCGTTCTCCAATCGACCTGCCTGTCATGGTAGAACCTACAGGAACATATGCTCCGGCCAATATAGCTCAGTTGGGTCATCACAATAGGCAAGCCCGACCACCGCATCAAGGTAGCAGCTACGGTCAGAGAATATTAAAACTATTTGTCATTAAGATGAGTCGTCGTAAAAACGTAGTGGAATTCCACGAAGTGTTCACACTGAATAATTTACTGTATCAGAACTTCAACCTGATGGATATTGATTTGCTTTCCATAAGTTGCAATTAGGAATCGCACATCGACAATCTTTCACTATTAATTTATTATTACACAATACTTATAACCCATACACTGCCTTTTGTGACGATTTTAAAGTCCTCTAGGTATTTTAGATAGAGTTTTGTTCTCTGAGCTGGATAGTTTAATTATGGGGCTTTCATCGTTCTTCTTAACGACATCATCAGTACAAACTTCAGGTAGAAGTTGTGTTCGAATGTCTCCACACATGCATTTCTCTGCCATCCAGCTCAGAGAAGAAAACCACCTAAATCACCCACCTGAGCTATGAATCTTCATCTCTTGGTATTTTGCCTGTATTTTAAGCCAATGTTGCTATTCAGGAATGTCATGCGTTCCATACTTTTTAACCAAAACTACGTTCTAATTAGACTTCCGATTAGCTATCAAACGTAGTTGATTAATTCACGTGTTTATCCCCTTTATTAAGTTCTGAAAAAGCCCTACTGATTGTGTACTGGAAAATCTAAATAATCCAATAACTGCTGTACGTCCATTTCAGTCCGAACTTCCTGGTGAAAGTATTACAATATTTAGAAGTAAAAGTGAAATATTTTCAAAATAGTGGGTTTTATGTAATATATTGGTTCCTAGACATTTAGTTAATGTCCTAGGTGCATTACAGATCATACTCAGAAATTTATTTCTCGCTTTAGGCTTTAATACTTGTGTTTATAACATGAATTTGAAACTTCCAACATAATCACTTATGGATGTCCAAACTGGCCACTGTGAGTGGGTTGCTTCATCCAATACGAATTCGTCTACGGAGGGACTCATTAGCTCTATTGCTAACCTAAGTTTCGAAGAAACCCGTTTGCTTTGGGGAAATAGTGGTTATGCTACTGTGTCTACTCAAGATGCTCTTGGGAACCGTCCACCATTCGGTTCGACACCATGGGATATTTCTTCAAACCACACCACTTCAAATTCCATACCAATGGTTCGCAGTCGGCGCGACAAGCCCAACAGTACCATCCCAGAATCTAATCTAAGTGATGGGAGTATTTTGATGTCTCCTGGATCCAAGGATATGGTGGCTTTGGGGATGCAGATGGCAGACCACGTTTTAAGTAACTCTCCAGGAAATAATGGTAAGTTTTAAAATATATAATCGTTATTTTTTCGCAGCTCAGTACTTGAGAGACATTTCTGAAAACTTGTCAAATGCATTTCCTCATCGTCCAGCACCTAATTCACTCAATGGAACCCAATCTTTTGCATTAAATTCTTACCAATATGATCCAAACGTAAGATCAGTCCTTCCAAATGAGTCAGATGCTTTGCATCAAAATCAACCTCTTCAGTCTGGAGCTAATGGATTGATTTCAAATTGCTTTAATCCAGCTCAATATTATATGCGTCCACCCTCAACTGCAACACAGTCTTTACAACAAGTACCTTATTCGATTATACCTAATAGATCATCGGAATATGTGCATGTAAAAAGCTTTACCTCAGAAGCAATTAGTTGCGAACCTTGCAATTCCATTCAAGCTGAAAACTTAGTACCATATTTCATCAACGTTCCAGCAAATACAGATCCTTCAGCGTCCAACATACCTGCAGAGTCTTTCAATATGTTTACTGGTTCCCATTTACATCGAGATCAGCATCCAGCGAGCCAATCTGATAATACAACCCACTTAGTTCCTATAATTCCCCAAACAAATCGCATCAGTAGTTTACATCATATGAAGTATAACTCCACAAACGCTAACGAGGAACATAAAAACCAATCATTTAATCCTTACTTGGGTGGTGCGTTTTCTGGAGTAAATCAATTAAACACATGCTTAGATTTTAATAGTGAATTTATGACGAATCCTTCGTTTATTAGTCATGTTTCTTTAGCTTGTAGTGAAGGCTACCTACCAACATTTATTCGGTCTAATGGGCCGCCCTCACAGGACATAAATAATTTTGGAGGTTGCTCAAGCTATCCTTCTGTAAATCAAGATTTTTATATGCATGGACCTTATAGTAATCTCGGAGGCAACAGGACGGTGGAACATGCACCATCTGAACATACTACTAACGGACTAGTTACAAATTCTCCTTATGGTAAGTTTTTTCTTTGAAAAAAAGATAAATCCTAAGGTTTTTCGTGACTGTATATAGTCGTTTGCTTTGAGCGCAATTCAAATAATGTACATCCTAGCTGTAACTATAAGGCGACACTTGATATTTGGACTTGTCGATAACATCGCCACATTTGTGGTTCAGACAGTATTTTATTTCAAATTCAGGTAGCTCAGTGGCAAAGCGGAAACAGCTGCTATCTTTATTTAAGTAATTTTGTCATTAAAATTCAAAACTGTGGTTAATCGTTGTACTTGAATGTAAAGACCGTGAGATACTTCTCTTGGATGACCATTTTAAATCTGGCAACGGTTGACTGTAAAAGCCGATGATAAGATGTACGAGTTCGTGGACGAGTGAAACGACACAACTTAGCAAAATGAACTGTGTATATGTATATCCAATTCCTAAGGTTCTTCAAAAAGCGGTCTTCGGTATACAATCAGCCAGTCACAAACAATGTGACATCTGGACCAAGTTGCCACAAGTCATTCAAGAAAAACTAGAAAATATATTCTAGAAATGAAAAATTCCAAGCTTATGGTTACCGATACCATATCCCGTTTCTAGTATTTTGTGTTGCTACCGGCTTCCGACTGACTTATCATGTATGTCGACAACAACTTTTGATTTGATTTTAGCCAAACACAAACGCATTTTACAAAAAAACATTAAGCGGCATATTTATAGTTCAGCTGATGTATATAAATAAATAATTTAAAGAAGTTATGTTTAGTGTACAATAGCATACCAACTCAAGTCCATCGGAAAAACAGTAATTTCTCAAATTATCCCAAATTAGAATTAACTTCGGAAACATTGCTTATTTGTACCGGTAAAATTATAAACATATACAGAAGAAACGTCGATGAGTTTATTTGAAGGTTAATTTTCATTCATAATTAATTAAGGATCAATTATGATATCTAACCGGTTTCCGAATAATTTAATTGTAATGCATTCATTCTTTATCTTCCCTTCAATTATTAGTTTTAAAGTTCTTTTGTGCGTTTATTTAGTGAATTTATTCTTTCATCTCGAATTATATTGTCTTTGCCCAATATTTTCTATTACCACCAATACTACTGCTACTACTCTGGTCTTCATTTTGATAATTTCATTTTTTTTGTTGAGATGTATTATGGGAATTTGTTCCGGTACACATTTGTTGCGCGTGACTGACTGATGTTGTGTACACGTATTGCGTATATAAGTGTTTCAGACTGAACAATTTTAGCCTTTTCCAAAAGTTACGATAGTTGGAGGCTTTATTTGTTATGCGCATAATATATATCAAAAAGAGTGAAATTTATTTATTCATTTATTTGAACACATGAATATTGGTACAAGAGAGCGCCAATACATATGCGCCACACAAAACAATGAGAATTCGAAGAGAAATAGAAAAAAAGCTAAGTAGTGCAAAAAAGTGAACAATAACGAAGAGATTGGTGTAAGGTAGTGTGGTAGTAATGAGGGAACGGAAAGGTACAATCAGAAGAAATCTTTCAGGTAAGGGAGACACAACCACTTTTTATGAAGAAAGTAAAACAAGGTTACAGCAGGATCGCCACGCTTCTATTCTGAGCCATATCTGATAACGTCTGTAGCCACTGTGTAGCACCATCTCTCGGACCCCAACCAGGGAGTCGTGAAGGACCGACAGAAGCAAGTCCTTTGCAGCTTTCTTTCATGCACTGACCACCTCTCCCAGAGTCGGCAAATAATGCACGACGTGGAATTCTCTGGGACGACATTCGGAGAACATGTCCAAGCCACCGAAGTCGGTGTTTCAAGATGGTGACACCAATTGAGTTATCATCTCTGTGCCCGAACACACGATGCCGAACCTCTGCATTACTAACATGGTGTTGCCACTGAATGTCAGCAATCCTTCGGAGACAACGATGATCGAACGAAGAAAGTCGTCTAACGTCCTCAACTCAGAGAGACCAGGTTTCACAAGCATAGAGCAAAACTGCTCTCACCGACGCGTTGTAGATCCGGCCTTTTACAGCCAGACTAACATCACGAAGGCGCCAAAGGTGGCCCAGATTGGCATAAGCCGCTCTGGCTTTCACTATTCGTGCATTGATCTCATCACTCACACCCCCACCAGCACTTATGCAGCTACCCAGATACACGAACTTCTCAACTACGTCTATCTGCTCACCATCCAGGGTTAGTACAGGATTGGAATCCAGCCAGTCTTGTAGAAGTACTTTGCACTTCGAAGGTGCAAAGCACATACCATACCTACGGACACTGATTGCCAACTGATTAAGTGCGGATTGCATGGCTTGAGCATTATCGCACAGTAAGACAATATCGTCCGCATACTCAAGGTCGAGAAGTCTTTCTCCAGGCAACAGATCCACACCACCTTTACTTACATCCATCAGAGCTGTTTCCAGAATGTCATCGAAGGCAAAGTTGAAGAGTAATGGTGAGATTGGGCAACCCTGCCTAACCCCACTGCTCGAATGGAACAATGGAGAGAGGTGGTTGTATACCCTCACTCACATATAACTTTTAGAAAGAGTTTAAATACGCCAGTCAACATTAAAACTGTCAATTCAATCTTTCAGTGGCTAGAAAATACAGTATATGAAATCAGTCAGTTAGTCAAATGCAACGCGAAACTACATACATGTGCGCGAGTTCAAGTCGCCACATGACATCGGCACAGCGAGTTGCCAGAACAGTATCACCAGCGATAGCATTGATGTTAGTATAAATGATTTGGGGAAAAACACGGGCCCTTGAAAGAAAGCGTAAAAAAGCTAACTAAGAAGGTTGGAGTCTAAAAAGATGTGTTCAAACTCATGCGGAGGTATTATATTTAAGGACGATAAATAAGTAAAGTAGCTGGTAGTAGGACATGCGAGTATTTCACGTAATATTGTCAAAAATGAATAAACACCTAAAGAGCTTGTGTTGTACTCATCAATACATTTTTGCATGGTATTTTTTCGTTTTTTTCACATTTGTTCAGGTCCCGCACAATATGGGCCACAAAAGTTTCAGCATACTGTTTACCCTAAAGGTGTATCTCCAGCTCCAGGTGATCAACTGAATATACAGGTACCAAATTGTGCTGGTGTAAACAACTATCCAATGCACCCAGTTGATACTATGGTAAGCACGTTGGTGGGGTCGCAATTTCTCGGACCATCAGCGAACGGTCATGCACAAAATGGGGCTGGTTTTCAAAATTTACCTGCCAGCGGTTTATATCAACCTCTTATTCAACCTAAAGATCCTTCTATACATATTCAGGCTCAAGCTGTTCAGCCTGTTTCAAACGACCAACAACAACAATCTGCAGCCTTATTCGCACACACTCTTCAGTTGTTTGCAGCTGCCGCTGCTAGGAATATGGGTTCTGGAACACACGATATTCACGTATCTGGTGTCGGGTCAAGTAACAGTGGATCTGTATTAAATTCTGTTGATTTTGAGTGTTTGAGGCCTTCAGGTGTAAGTGCAGAAGTTTCGCTTACTGCACCCATTCTACCAGATCATTTGCAGGTAATCTGGATCAGAGCTTATTTTCTGTTTTGTTTTGGTATACAAATTCTAATATCAAACTTCTCTGAGGTTTTATGGCATTTATTAGGAAGATCAGTTCCTTGTGACAATACAGCCTATAAAATGTATAGTTAATACAAAGTGTCTTTACACAGGTGTTCGAACTTAGTGTATAGTAATAATCATATTCCTGTTTCCTTGTTTGAATTTTCTGGTGGAGAATTATAAAACAGTAAAGTTCGCAACATTATTTAATAGAAAATTTGGGTAGATTAACTGACTGACTTCCACCCCGAAACATACAGTGTATTATCAGTATCAATGCCAAGGTTGGACTCGATAGTTTCAAATACATTGAGTACGGGGTAGGAATTTGATGATAAATATATGTTTTGTTATATTCCAATGATTAGAAAAATTGTATTTCTGATGTTTCGTGACTCTATATAAGCCACTTCAAAGAATATAAATAACCGAAATAAATTAACACGGGTTTAAGTAGTACTATTTAGACTTGTGTTAATTCGGTTCTTTATTTACTCTGAAGAAGTGGCTTACATTAAGTCATGAAACATCAGAAATCCAGTTTTTCTACTCATTCGGATATAACAAAAAATATAATCATTATACAGTGTATTATGTTGTTGTTTTAAATAACTCATAATTTTAAACTTCGGTCAATGTGTAACTGTAGAAACATTTCGGTGATTAAGGGGGTGCATTAAGCCACTGTTGGATTTGGAGTTGTTACCGAATGTTTTCATAGGTTTTATTTTAACAATCACATTATTGGGTTAACTTCCACGATTGCTCATTCTTGATTCTTATGGGGGTTGTCTTTTTACTTCTATGGTAATTGATTACTATATGTTCATCAGTAACATTGGTTTTTCAAACATTTTATATGTCGACGGTTTTTTTACCAATTTTGGAGGGACTCAGTACCTGGTGACCAATAATTGGTTCATACGCCATTTGCTCCTACAGAATCCTAGAGCCCTTTGTGCACAATTGGCTTGCAATCAAGGTTTTCCAACTCCCCTAGATAGATCCTACATATCCACCAACTCGGTTAATTAGCCGGACATTCGCCTTCCGTCCTCTGAATTTCGTAAGCAACAGTAATGCCGCGAAAAGGCAGTGAGTAGGACTTCCGTGGCCGTGGCTGTATACGCGTAGCCATGTGAGAGCATTTCGAGAGGTAGCTGACTCTCCCCACCCTCGGCCGTACCAGGGTATTTGAGGGACCAAATTGTTAAGGAAATATTGATTTGATTCAAGGCACGAGAGTACTATCAATTCGCCACAATGAATAATTGATTTTATTTAACCGAAATTAGATATACAATGAATGATAATCACGTGAATGACTAATTATTTGATGCATTTATGAAACATTAATAAACCTGGCAACTATGATTATTTCATTCATATTCCATTCTAATCTCGTCATCAATCTCTTTTTAGGCGTATGCGAGTAATTCTTGTGTTCCTGTAAATGCTGTGGAAAGTCCGGGTCCCCGTCATCCCCATTCTACCTTGGATTTTAAGTCAATGTGCTCAACGGTTCCTGCTCCTTTCCCACCTATCTCATCATCCATTCATTCACAAAATATTTTTCCACAAACTGATGTAATTACTCAGGAGTTCCAGCATGCTGGTTTAGGTTATACCGGATTGTCATCTATGAATTCAATGGGTGATCGTCTGCTTCGACCTTCCAATAATTTCGCAAGACCTACACCACCATTGTCTTCCAATCGTATGCCTTATATTCCTGCGAGTGTTACAGACTCTCAATCACCTCCTAGAACTCCGACTACAATAATTGGCCCAAGAATTAGTGTGCCACCAGTCCCACCGAGACCTCAAATAGCTACTTCAACTATGTATACTTGTCAAAATAATGGTCCACCTCCTTTTTCTTCCATACATACACCACGTTTTCCCTCACGCGGCCCAACTAGTTATCCACAACTGAATTTAACACTCATGCCTCCGCCTCTTCCTCCTTACCCTCATCATATTCATCAACCACCGCCTGTTCTTCCACCACCTGGATTTCTACCACCAGCTCATTCCTATCGCCCTTCTGGAACCAGTAGCTCTTCTGTCCCACTTAATAATACATCTCCTTCAGGAAACAAGCCTGTTCATAACAGATTTCCAAAAGATCACACTCACTGTACAACACTGCATCAACCTAACACCCCTGTGTCTGTGATGGCACTCACGTTTGCAGCTGCTCAGCAACAAACCTCAGGAGTAAATCCTACTTTCGGGATAAGGCATTCATCATCCAACCAAACTTCTCATTTTCCACCTCCGTACTATGGTTTTCCTACTGATTCAACCGCAACTCCCACTTTCCAACCAAATTCTTCGTACCTTAATCATTCTAACCCACCGTTACATATTAATAATGTATTGCACCTAAGACCGACTAATGATGCTGCTCCAGAGCGTAGTCGTCTGTTGGAAGAGTTTCGGTATGTTTTCCATCATCTGATTTCTTTTTTCTTCTGTTAATTTTTATCTGAATCAGAAGCTGAACACAAATAAGTTCAACCAGTCCAAGCTGAAACAGGAAAAAATTACTTTCGCTAGTAAAATACAAATTAGTAACTGTGGTTTAAACAACAATGATTCAAATTACACCTACTCAGCTTTGCTTACGCATATTATTTGTCTTCAATCATATGATTTAGATTCGTCATCACAGGTTTCTGTGATAAATTTGAAACATGTAAAGTACTGGACTTCTTATATCCAAGCATCTACTAAAACGCAGTCATAACTTATTGATATGTTGTCAGTTATGTTATCCAGTATGCTCTAATGTAGTTAAAGTTCTTGAGAATCATCCAACAATGTTATAATGCCATATGAGCGCATATTTCCAAATCAACGTTGCGTTTATTTGCGGTGTTTCATAGCTCACTGTAAGGTTGTATGTCTGAGATTCTCAGCTGTTGAAACAAATAGTGCATATTTTACACAAAAATCTCTTAATGAATTTAAAGTTGCATTCTTGTTTCTATCATGATGACGTGCTGACATATTTGGCTGCTCATAAATCATATGTTGGTTAAGCCGTAAAAGTTTGGTTTATTGTTCTCGGTATAGGAAGTATATGATCCTACCACTTACCAAATGTACTTCATGTTGGTCAATATATACTAACTAAAACTAACTACTTCAGTGAAATATAAATATGCTGTTAGGGTAGGCGTGACTGGTTGTTGCAGTGTGTTCTATTCTTATGAGTCATGGAAATTTAGAATGTAATGAAGGGCTTGCTAGTTCCTAACTTCCTTTACCTTCGAACGATTTAATATACTTGGTGAAATCGTTAAATGTCTAGTTTTGTAATTAAACAAAACTATTTTAATTTAGATCATGAACCGATTGATGTTAGACCATTGAAAACCTGGAAGCACTGGACGGCCGTATTGTCCTGTTGTATATATATATATATATATATTGTATATAATTAGATGGTATAAGTCGGTAGATAATGTTTTTCAAGATGATAGTTTCCTATTCATAATTGACCATATCAACGGAAAATGCAAAAGATAGATAAAACCTGGATTATGTCAACCTTATATGACATTTGTTTATGAATTGACTGACAGTTAATTCAATTCTCACATTTTATTCTCTCATATCACGCAACAAATACTAATGACAAAGTTTATCCTAGCTTATAAATCCCATCGTGTAAATATTTTTTTTGATTTTTTTGGTCAATTATCAGAAGTTAATGCAACTTAAATGAATCCAATCTACTATATTCAATCTAGTTGCGATTTTTATTACCTCGTCATTTTATATTCTAGTTATTTACATGATTTCTCTACAAGACATGCATCTAATCCATTTAACTTCTATTCTCTGTTTAGTAATTCTCGATTGCCTTGTTTAACATTGCATGATTTAATGAATCATATCGTGGAATTTGCTCAAGATCAGTATGGTTCACGTTTTATTCAACAGAAATTAGAACAAGCTAGTGTTGTAGATAAAACTAGTGTGTTTCGTGAAATTCTTCCTTATGCATACAATCTAATGATCGATGTATTTGGAAATTATGTAATACAGAAGTTTTTTGAATTGGGAACACCAGAGCAAAAACAAGTAAGCTTAATACATTCGCTACATTTTTTTACTACTTTTTAAACACTTATCTCATTGATTGTTATCCAAAGCTTTTGTGATTAATACATATTTTGTTGGTTGCTTAATGTTCACTATTCAAATAACGTACTGTTTTACATTCATCGAAAACATTTTTGTTTTGTAAAGTTCATAATTATAATTTGAATCTGGACGTAATAACTTTTGCAATCTCAACTTTCTACAGAAATAGTTACTACACGATTTCTGGCTTCAGTTAATTCATTATAACAGAGTAATATTATTCGTTCCACATCTACCTTAATTGACTCTTATAGGCTTTTGCAAACTAAGTAGCATCTCTAGCCCGTAAACGAACAGTTTAGCTCGTAGCTTAGTGAATAAAATCGTACTTGCTAATTGAGTTATATTGTTGTAGTTGATTAACTGATTTCAATTCAATATCATCTTTCAACGAAAAGTATCCACATAATCAATTTCTTACAATATCTAATTCAATAAATGGTATATATAGCATAACAAAATGATCCCATATATTCGCTTTCTTTCATGTTTCTATGGGTTTTGGGTAGATTTTCAATAACATTTCAGCAATAACACTGGAATAATTTTCATTACTTATATATTCTTTAAATTTAGTTACAAATTAATGTTATTCTAAAATCAATTTTCATGTATTAAAATTAAGTGATCACCTGAATAAAATTTGGAGATGCCCTTTATGTCTATATGCGTGTAAATCAACTCTCTGTAAAACCCCGATAGCACTAGTAAAACAGTTATGTTGATAATATGTATATCTTAGTCGAAATTGATCCTCGCTGACAAACTTTCAAATGGGTTTATTTGTATCCAGTGTATTGTTTAGTCACTAATCTTTCCTGTTATGCCTTCATCTGAATAATTTTAAACTGTTCAAAGTCTTGATTTCTCACTGTCAGAAACACAAAACGGTTGTATTTCTGATATGCCCTTCGTATAATTCTGTTTGACCTCAAAAGCTTGGCAGAGTAATTATTACCTATAACAACTTTATGTTGTGCTAAACAGTTCGGCGTATTAAAGATGAGCTTGGTCACCTTAAGTCACTTGAAATTCATCACACAGTTGTTTCTTTGCTTAATATTCATTATTGATTTGTTGCACTATTTATGTTCACAAGTAAAACTTCATTATAATATTGAGAATAATATACTTTGTAGTTTTAGTCTTCATATTAATTTTACCCTCCCAACTAATTTTTCTACTGCACTCTAGATACTAGCTCAGAGAATACGTGGACAAGTTTTGTCATTGTCCCTTCAGATGTATGGTTGTCGTGTCATACAAAAAGCTGTTGAGTCTGTCCCATTGGAAATGCAAATATCAATCGTTAAGGAACTGGATGGATGTGTAATCAAATGTGTGAAGGATCAAAATGGAAATCATGTTGTACAGAAATGCGTGGAAAATGTCCCTCCAGAACACTTACAGTTTATTATAGACGCTTTTAAGGATCATGTAAGCCGTTTGTGAATAAATTAAAAGTTTTACTCGATATGTCGATAAAATTTTTGTAAGGTCTTCAGGTCTTTTAGAAGTGTGGAATTGTTTCTTTCTATTGTTCAATTCATGAGTCCATGGAGGCTAGACCCTTACGGAAAACCTGGAATCACTGGATGGCCGTTTCGTCCTAGTATGAGACTCTTTAGCAGTGCGCATCCACGATCTCGCAAGTTTTTTATTTCAGTAATTAAAGTCGAAAACATTATAACGGGTTCATCTGTATCTATTCAGATTGTTTGCATTTTTTTAAAGAAAGAAGTTGACTCCTGACATTGTACTTGAGGTAAATATTTTTATTATCCTTATCCGTCGTACCAATTTTCCGTACTCTAGCTATACCTTATACTTCCTTTCCCCAATGTAATGAGTCATTAATGACAACAGCTTGATTGGTCAGTCGACAATACTTTTAAAAAGAATAATTTAAAAAGGTCATTGAAATCATGATCCAATCAATGTTAGACCACTATAGATCGTTTCATGATTACAATGAAATTCAACAATCTCCACAACCTCAAACTGAATAAAGAATAATTATCTTAGTTAAAGCTTTCTGTTTGTCAGGGAATTTATATTATCAAAACATGTAAATTACATCATTTGTTCTGAAGTTACTCGTAAAATAGGCTAGATGGATTTTTATTGCAAATTTCGCCATTCGGGGCACCCTCAATATGACGTCCAACTTTTACACTTTTTAATATCATTGTACCACAGATCGATCTAGTTTTGTGAATATATTCAAATAAAATTAACAACTACTTTAACCGAATTTCATAATACAATTAACCGTACAGGGTGTTGGCGGGATATAGATTGAATTAAGGCACGCTGGTTGTAAGATTGTGTTAGGACACGCTGATTGGTTATCTCTTAACCAATCAGCGCTAGCGAATACTTGGAGAACACTGTGGAACCCTCTCACGTAAAATCTATAAATATAACAACGTTTTTCTTATTGTGATTCCTACTTGCATTCAACCTTTTTATTTGGAATATAATTACGTTCCTTTTCAACCTTGTTCTGATTTGGGGACTTATCGAGTGATATAGTGTCCAAGCGTGCTAAGCGATAGAAGTAGCTAGGTAGTAACAAGAGAAATTATAACACAGTGCAAACTCGGTTTTAGTAAGGATGAATGCTCACCTTATGTGGTTTGAAGGCAAGCGTATATATAGCACTAACAGCTTACAGTCTTCATGTTAAATGTCAATCCAGTTCAAAAATGGATTGTGATGTAATTTTTTCACACCATTCACTCAATCTTCTGGATAATATTTACGTTTTTTTAGTAAATGTGAGGTGTATTCAATGCACGTGTTTCTTAATTATATTCATTTAATATATAGTCCAGTATTAGCACCTGTCATTCAACCTTAGCAAGTGTAGTCTCCTTCGTGAAAGTGACAGCCTAGTTGTGATTGAAAAAAAACTGGCTTTGTCATTAGATTCCCAGTAACACTGAACAAAGTTTGTAGCTTAGCACATAAAGCTGTGTTCTATCGCTGCATTGTACAATGTATCTAGGTTAAACCTATTATATACTGCTACTTGAAATTCTGAAAAACAATCCTACCATATAGCGAGTTTAATTAACATGTATTTATCAGTACTTTTCAGATTATATCACTAAGTAACACTGAAATATCCTAATTCATATTTTTATTTATGACCATTTCCTTATTACATAACAGTATTGTTTACGTAATTTTGTGTCATATTTTATAAATTGAAGCTAAAATTATTACTGACACATGCTTTGTGTGTAAACTTCGATATTATCTTGCTAAATAATTACTTCGTAAAGTTCTAACTAACTTTTACATTATGAAGTATTTTTTTAATAGAAAATTTCAATCCTAAATATAATTCTACACTTCATTTTTGTCACTGATTAGTATAATTTAATGAAGATAGACGAAGATTTTCAGAACTATGTGATATATTAGGCAATACATTGTGAACACTCTGACCACATATATATTTCAATGATTGAGATCATGGGAAGCCTGCAAGCACTGGACTGGTTAAAGTTAGAAATAGGATGTCGGCTCAGTGGTCTAGAGGTTTAGTGCTGATAGGTCATCGGTTCGAATCTCGCGAGACGGGATCGCGGGTGCGCACTGCTGAGGAGTCCCATACTAGGACGAAATGGTCGTCCAGTGCTTCCAGGTTTTCCATGGTCTAGCTTCAATTGACTCATGATGTCAACTATTGCAATTACTATAATGTCAACAAAAGTCCTTTTGATATTAATCAACATAGTTCCAATAATTTCCTCTTTCTATTAGATTATCCAAATTTATCACAAGGGCTAATTGCTTTAAATTTCTAAAAAAGGGGCCTATTATATTTTATTTCATTGCATTGCTTGCTGTGTATTAATTCACGTCGACGTTTGTGGATGTGTTTTCTTCATAGGTATATTCGATATCTACTCATTCGTATGGTTGTCGTGTTATTCAACGTATTTTAGAGCACTGTACACCTGAACAAATTACTCCAATTCTCTCTGAGTTACACCAACACACTGATGCGCTTGTTAAAGATCAGTATGGAAATTATGTGATTCAAGTAGGTGGTGAAAATTTTGTACCTAATACTGTTTCTTGTTTATAAAGTTATATGATGTAATTAAGAACATGGATTTGTTGTATACTCTTTTAGAACTTCTGAGATTTTTTATAATGTTCGCAGTAGTTTTGTCTTATTAGTAAACAAGTATCTACTTTTTATTGAATTTTCATAATTGGAATATATTTACAATACGGCCTTTCTACAAGTTTAACATCGTAATTGGGCAAAACAAACACAATTGAATTTCTAGAATTATGCGATTTAGCTTATACAGATTATTGATATTTCTAAAGGAGAGCGCCTAATACATATCTAATTATAAATTCATGTTTATTTTCACACATACCAATTTTTAAATACAATATTCCTCTTTTTTTTTCTAGCATGTTCTTGAACACGGAAAAACGGAAGACAAGAGCCGAATCGTAGAACACATCAAAGGTCGTGTAGCTAAGCTGAGTGTGCACAAGTTCGCTAGTAATGTTGTAGAGAAAGCTGTTGCGAACGCTTCACGAGTTGAGCGTCAATCACTTATCAATGAAATACTTGAAGAAACTGTGTTAACTGAAAATCAAATTGTACAAAATGGACAAAATCAATCTAGGGAATTTCGGGTTGATGATAGTTTTAGTGAGAATGATGATGACGATGATGATGATGAACCCAGAACGAGAAGTTCGGTTTTAGTTATGATGATGAAAGATCAGTTTGCTAATTATGTTATCCAGAAAATGTTGGATGTTGCTGAACAACCGATAAGGAAAGAGCTTATGATTCAAATTCGTCCACATTTAGGTATTTTACGTAAATATACTTACGGTAAACATATCATTAATAAGATGGAAAAATACTACATGAAAACAAATCAGTTACATTTAGCCGTTGGACTAAATTCTCCATCACCACCTCCATCTCTAGATATTGTAAACGCTTCTTCAAACATCACTCAATCGAATTTAAATTCAACTATTCGTAGTTGTGGAAGTACACATAGCAGTTCGGCTGCATCACTCCTCCCACCACTGTTAACTCCAACAGATATGGCTATTCGAGCTTCGAAGTCAATTTCAGTGAATCGATCCGGTCATTCACACCATTGCTATTCTAATCATATCTCTCACCATCATCAGTCGTATTTATCTTCATTTTCGCGTAATGGTTTACCATCACATCGGGTAAAACATAAAGAGTCCAATAATAGTAACTCAAATTCTCAGAAAGTTTCAAATGAGGAAATGCAAAGTAGTTCTACACTTATGTCTGATAGTACGAGTTCATCCAAAGAGACGTTGGAAGTGCATAGAAGTTTTGATGACGAGTTCTGTGGTGGTGATAATATTAGGTCCTTAAAAAGTAAACATGAAAAACACAATTCCGAATTAGAATCATCTAATTTTAATCAAACACCAACGACTACGAATGAACGCTCCAATAGGAACTGTGACGATAATAAAGGAAAAGTAAAATTATCAGATCCAGACAGTACTAGTCATTTGTATCAAGTAGTCAATGATGTATCAAGTGATTTTCGAGTGTCATCAACAACAAAATCTAGTATTCCAACATCTACTAGCGTCAAACTTAATGAAGTAGATGTTAATAGTGGAAAGTCAAGAAGTGTCGGTGAACTATTGACTAACGGTAGTGATCATTAATAATGTTTGCTATACCTTTTCCTCTTCCTTTATGTCAATTTATCTTCTTCTTCTTAAATCCTTTTTTTTTCTAAATGTTATATGATCATCAATTAACCGTTAGGAAATTGCTTATTTGATAGTATCTTCCATGTTTTGTATTTTATCAAGCTTCAATTCCTTGTGCAATGATCTATTTATCTCAAACTATTTTAAAAAGATTTCCTCATGTTCAGCAAATATCATTCTCTTGCACAGACGATTTATTATGTAATGTTTTTTCTCTCTTTTTATTATATATTTTTTTAAGAAAAATTTCGACCTTCCATTGTTTCATGTATATGTACGTATAAGCTTTGATTTTTTTCCTTTTTTTAATGCAAAGAAATGTATGAGACCTTGTAAAACACAACTTTTCACTGTACGTGATGTTTACTGATTACTACATGGATGACGGGTCCAGGTTATTTATATATACATACATTCTATTGTTGCGTTTCATTCTCTTTCACCATACTACCCTATCGTCGTCAGTTGTGTTGTTATACTGACATGACTGATTCTGTATTAATGGTACACTTCACTTGTTATTTCTTTCGGTGTATGTTGTTGTGTAATCAACTGAATATCCTTATATGTAGTAAAAATTTCAATTTTTATTCAATGTATGTGCATCTACTGTAAATCTGACTATTCTCAATTATGAATCTATTATATGCCAATTCAAGTTGTATTTATACGTATATATATATTAATAATCTTCACTTCATATTAACCCTTTTTTTAGTTCCTGATGTCTGATCATCTTGGAATTGTGTATTGTTTTCTACAATAATAGAATGTTTGTATTTAGTTATTTATTATTACTATATTGGTTGAAGTCATTTTGTAGTAACTATCCTGTTTAATCAAGCTTGTCTTTGTATACATTCTGTACACCATTTTAACTTTTATTTGTTTCACTTGTGTGTTTGTGACAATGTGTTATTATTACTATTATTGCTATAACACTCTCCCAAGTTCTTGATACTTGTAATAATATGTATTTTTCACTGTTCTTTCACTATGAAAAAATTAATCGTTTTCACAAATAAAATGAATATATATATATATTCTCTATTTATCATTGTGTTTTGTTTATTATTCCATTCAATCGTAAACAAATTGTCAGTGTTGGATATCAGTACCTTCAATCTAATTACATAATCTACTAATTATGTATTTGTTAAGTATATATTTTCTTTATTTGCACAATGGTTCGTATTAATTAAAGGCTTTCCGTTATTATCTTGTTAGCTTACGTTATCTAGTTGATTTCGTATCATTTTAGTTTTTTCATTAGGCTAACAGATTTGATATAATTAAAAAAAACAACTAAATGTTCACAATTAGACTTTTGTAAAGTTATCGTAGATCCTTTGATATATTTCGGCGTAATACGATTCATTTGAATTTGAAGGGAATCAAAGTCGTTTTGTTTTGCTCACTTATGCCTTTGGAGTCGTCATGTACCTCGATCTTTGACGACTATCATTATGTTTTTAAAGTTTTATGTGTATTTGCTCTCAAAGTAAAATTAGGAAACCATGATGAATATTCTTCCACAGCTCTCATACTCGTTGACTACCTTCCTGTCATTTACACCCAGTCCCAGCGTCGATAGATAAAAAAACGATATAGGAGTTAGTAGGATAATATTCATTGTATATGTATTAAGATATACAATGCGCTTCATAAACAACAGATATAAAAATTATATGCATAATGAATGCCCTGGTACGGCCGAGAGTGGGGAGAGTCCGCTCTCCCTCTCGAAATACTCTCACACGGCCACGCGTATATAGCCTCTGCCAGGGAAGTCCTACTCATTGCCTTCTCGTGGCGGGGGTGTTGTTTACGAAAATGAGAGGACGAGAAGCGAATGTCCGGCGCTTTAACCGGATTCCAAATCAATGGTGCACATGGGCTCCAGTATCCTGCGGGAACGAATGGCGTATGAACCAATCGTTGGTCACCGGCTACCATGGGACTGCATCTCCTTACGATGCCCCACTGCCTTGTGGGTTAGACCTTTAGGTCAAAGGCTCGGGGAGTGGCCCCCTAAGATAACCACCTGCTTCGGTTTGGGCACCCGGGCAGTATCACAGCCCACACACAAATGATGAACTCTTTATGTCTATGGAAACTACTTTTGTCGCTTTGAAAAACAATCAATTGATTCAAATTATGTTCACTTCAATTATTGTCATTATTAATACTAATATTATTATTACTACTATTATTGTCATTATTGTTATTATTATCATTATTATTATTATTTTCCACATTATTCACCTTCTTTTATACTTATACAGCGGCTCGTCTTTGGTGGAATTCCGACTGTATCTAAACGTTCTCGAGTCACTGTCCGGTTGAAAATTGTATGTTACCACCGAATACGAGGACTGAAGCAGATTTTCTGAAACCACGTGCATCATTCAAACTGGCTGCCTTCAACGTTCGCACATTTATGCAGGTCGGACAACAGATAGGGCTGGCTATGTCTTTGGAAAGTCTTAATATCGACGTGTGTTGTCTATCCGAGACCCGTATTCAAGACTCTGGCGAAGTACTACAAATTCGATCTCCATCTGTCGCTTCGAAAAGCTTGTTTTACGTGCGCTTATCCGGGGACCCTGTGGCATCTTCGTCTGGTTTTGCTGGCGTTGGTGTCGCACTAAGCGCTAGAGCTGAGGCAGCACTAGTCGATTGGATCCCCATTAACAGTCGGTTATGTGCTGTTAGATTAGAAAGTTCCATGAAAGTGAGAAGAAATCGGCGTGAGAAACGATGTCTTTTCGTCATCTCCGCCTATGCCCCGACAGATTGCAGCCCGGATGCAATCAAGGATGAGTTTTACCACCAGTTATCAGTTCTTCTCCAGAAAGTGCGTTCGACAGATATTGTAGTACTAGCCGGAGACTTGAATGCTCAGGTCGGGCGTCTAGGCACAGAAGAGAGTCGTTTAGGTGGCCGATGGGGACTCGTTGGTCGCAGGTCAGATAACGGGGACCGTCTACTGCAACTTTGCGCAGACCACAACCTGTTTCTGGCTAGCACTAACTTTCGGCACAGTCATCGCCGATGTGCCACCTGGCGTCCTCCCTCTGCATCTCAAGCCTGGACTCAGATTGATCACATCGCGATCAGCTACCGCTGGCGTGGTTGTGTACAAGACTGCCGCTCCTTTTGGAGTACCTATCTGGACTCTGACCATGCCTTGGTCTGCGCCAATCTTGCCTTACTTTTCAGTGGACAACGAAGTGAACGCCATCAACGGATTGATGTTAGCAAGCTGGTTGCAACTTCTGTTGCAAGTAAGTATCGAACCGAGCTAGCCTCTAGGCTAGCTACCACTCCACCGAAAAGTATAGATGAGCATTGGTTGCAATTGCATGACGCCATGAAAATGGCGGGAACAGTCAGTTGTGGGTTTGCGAAACGTCCCGCTTTTAGGCACTGGGTTTCTGCAGGTTCCTTACAACTCATTGAAGCCCGTCGGTCTACTCCGGGTGACCGTGAGTTTGACCACAAACGAAGGTTGTTACGTGGCGAAATTGGGCAAAGCTTGCGTAAGGACCGAGAAGCCTGGTGGTCGATGCGTGCTAATGAGCTGGAAGCAGCAGCTGCATCTGGTAACTACCGGAAGCTCTTCCAACTCATCCGAGCCACTGGCAGCAAGAAGTCTGGTGTGAGTGAAACAATCTGCGAGGATGATGGGATGCCAATCACTAACATCCATCGACGTCTTGGACGATGGGCAGAATTTTTCGAAGGGCAGTTCAACTGGCCTACTACTCCGGTAACATCGGTCAGACTGTCCTGCCCTCCATGGCCGGTGACGACTGATCCACCAAATGAGGCGAAAGTCCGCAAGGAACTCCAACTCTTGAAGCGTTACAAATCACCTGGCCCAGATGACTTACCTCCGGCTCTTTTTAAAGATGGTGGTGACTTTTTGACTAAGGAATTGACGACGTTGTTTACAAAGGTTTGGGATCTAGAGAGTGTACCAACGTCATGGAATGAGTCGATAGTTGTCCCTATCTTTAAAAAGGGTTCACGTCGTTCTTGTAACAACTATCGGGGGATAAGTTTACTTCCGATTGCGTCCAAGCTATTGGCTTCCGTCATTCTTCGTAGGTTGTTCAAAACCCGAGAAAGATTGACTCGCGAGGAGCAGGCTGGGTTTCGTTCTGGTCGAGGATGTATTGATCATATCTTCACCCTCCGCCAAATGTTAGAACACCGCCATACTTTTCAAAGGCCAACAATCGTAGTGTTTCTTGACATCAGGGCTGCCTTCGATTCGTTGGATAGGACTGTTCTCTGCGATTGTCTATTGAAGAAGGGTGTGCCTGAGAAGTTTATTAACATCCTAAAAGCCCTGTATAAAAACACCTCAGGCAGAGTGAGGGCATACAACCACCTTTCTCCATTGTTCCATTCGAGCAGTGGGGTTAGGCAGGGTTGCCCAATCTCACCATTCCTCTTCAACTTTGCCATCGATGACATTCTGGAAACAGCTCTGATGAATGTAAGTAATGGTGGTGTGGATCTGTTGCCTGGAGAAAGACTTCTCGACCTTGAGTATGCGGACGATATTGTCTTACTGTGCGATAATGCCCAAGGCATGCAATCCGCACTTAATCAGTTGGCAATCAATGTCCGTAGGTATGGTATGTGCTTTGCACCTTCGAAGTGCAAAGTACTTCTACAAGACTGGCTGGATTCCAATCCTGTACTAACCCTGGATGGTGAGCAGATAGACGTAGTTGAGAAGTTCGTGTATCTGGGTAGCTGCATAAGTGCTGGTGGGGGTGTGAGTGATGAGATCAATGCACGAATAGTGAAAGCCAGAGCGGCTTATGCCAATCTGGGCCACCTTTGGCGCCTTCGTGATGTTAGTCTGGCTGTAAAAGGCCGGATCTACAACGCGTCGGTGAGAGCAGTTTTGCTCTATGCTTGTGAAACCTGGTCTCTCTGAGTTGAGGACGTTAGACGACTTTCTTCGTTCGATCATCGTTGTCTCCGAAGGATTGCTGACATTCAGTGGCAACACCATGTTAGTAATGCAGAGGTTCGGCATCGTGTGTTCGGGCACAGAGATGATAACTCAATTGGTGTCACCATCTTGAAACACCGACTTCGGTGGCTTGGACATGTTCTCCGAATGTCGTCCCAGAGAATTCCACGTCGTGCATTATTTGCCGACTCTGGGACTGGTTGGAAGAAGCGGAGAGGTGGTCAGTGCATGACATGGTGTCGTGGCATGAAAGAAAGCTGCAAAGGACTGGCTTGTGTTGGTCCTTCACGACTCCCTGGCTGGGGTCCGAGAGATGGTGCAACACAGTGGCTAGAGACGTTATCAGATATGGCTCAGAATAGAAGCCAGTGGCGATCCTGCTGTAACCTTGTTTTACTTTCTTCATAAAAAGTGGTTGTGTCTCCTTTACCTGAAAGATTTCTTCTGATTGTACCTCTTCGTCATTACTCTCTTTTTCTTTTGCGTTCCTTAGTTTTTTTTTCTTTCTACTTCTCTTCGAATTCCCATTGTTTTGTGTGGCGCATATATATTGGCGCTCTCTTGTACCAATATTTATGTGTTCAAATAAATAAATAAATAAATAGATACTTTACAGTGCCCTATATCACCTGAAAGTTAGTACAGAATTACGGAGGTGACATATAACTACGAATTCTTCAGAATTCACGATGAATTCAATTTAGTATTGCACTCAAAGCCCTGGTACGGTTGAGGGTGTGGAGAGTTCTCTCACCTTCTCGAAAAGCTCTTACATAGCCATACGTACATAAAAATTCCTTCTCGCGGCGGGGTTTGAAAAGACAAGCAAGTGCCCGGTGCTTTAACCAAGTAAGTGGATGTGGACGATTCACCTAGTGAGGTTGGAAAACCGTGATTCCAAACCACGGCTCCAGGATCCTACAAGGACAAATAGAGATTGCTTATGTGTTTAACTAAAATAAATAATTTGGCATTAAGACACCCTGGAAGATGTAGAACTCGATATCAGTTCAGTCAGTTAATAATAAACTTACTGAAAGACACGTAAACTAGGAGGTAGATCTGAATCTAATTTGCCCGTAACAAATTAACCAGGAGGAATGAACGTTAATCACATGACCGCGTAAGAGGTTTAAGTTGGGTACTAAAGTCAAACTCATTATCAGAACAACAAATTACATTTATGCAATTTATCAAAGAAACATTTTTTATGTACAATATAATCAGAAAATTAAGACCTAACGTTTGATAAAATTATCATGAAGCTCCCCTTTCTGACGATTACTAGCCTTACGATGAATACCTTCTTCTAAAGTAGTCCTGTCAACGTGTTGGTTTTTTAAATGACTAATAAATGATGGTCCATGAGAAAATTTCGAGGCTAATTCCCTTTCCTCTTCATTCTTTTTTATCTTATAGTGAGTAGTGGAACGATGTAAACGTTCTTTTTCATGTTCTTTTGCATCAGAAATCATCTGGGCTCGCTTAGCTTCGATTTCTTCTTTGGATAACTTTCGTCGATTCGATGATGATTTGTGATAGTTAGATCTTTCTGAACAGGATGAAATTGATTGATTACGTTCTGAATGATGTTTTCTGTTCACATTTGAACACTTTTGGTCTGAAAGTGCATGTTCCTGATCACAAGAATTTGAAAGTTGTTTTTTAACAGTACTAGATGATTCTTTACTACATTTATCCATAGATTTCTGTGAGTTATCCTCTTTCAGTTCATTAGATTGATGAATAATTTCAATGAACTTATTCAGTAATTCATCATCTGAACTACCTCCCTCTGATTCATCTGAACTTTTATGCAGATGTTTTTGTTTTAAATGTTTTTTACTTTTACGTTTTTCTTTACGCAATTTTTGCTCTGTTAGCTATAAAAAAATATCAAATGATTGGATAGACCTTACAAGTCTTCGAAGTTTCCTAACTTTAGCTGTATTCTGAAGCAGTTCTATTCGTTTTTCCGCTTCTCTTTGCCTATTAAGTAAATGAGTAAAATACCTCAATATGATTTAAATAATCACTTCATAATTGTCAGGGGATCTTCACGAAATTTGGCTTCCATATCAAATCTAGCAAGTCGTTGAGCAGGTGATTCGTCATATTCTAAATTAATTTTTTTTTAAACTCGATTTTTTCTTTTACCTTTACCAATTTCCTGAATTTGGTTTAAGCTTTGAACTTGTTTTCCCAACAAAAATGCTTCAGGATCATCTTTCGGTTTCTCATACATCCATGAATTCTCATTTGTACTCCTAATAATGGGGAAAAGTAAATTTTATTTAGATGTTTAAAAGTTTACTTTTTCTCTGCTAAAAGAGCAGCGATTTTCATACGTTCTTCAGGAACCTAAAACAATATTGGAAACAAAATAGATTATATCGCTAAAATAACTTATAGTAAAATAATACAATCAGAAGAGTAGGCGTAATTTAACGAGCAACCCCAAGATTATATTTATCATTAATTATTATGCACTGAAAAGTTCAAGTTTGCATAAGCTAACCGAGCTTACAGAATCCGTATTGAGATTTCGTCAGATGACAACCCACAAGAGCTGACGAGACTTCTGAAATAAGTGAAGCAGTCCATGCACTCAAATATTTCGCTACATAACATTTTAGTCACTGACATAGATCAGTCCTAAAGTAACACTTTGCATTGTCCCTTAAGGAAATCAAAAGTCAACCGTATGAAACAAGATTTTTACCCGTGTATTTTAAATGGATAGCCTCCAAGTATCCTGATACGGTTGAAGGTGGGGAGATCCAGCTCGCCTTCTTGAGATGCCTTTATATTGCCACACGTATATAGCCACTGCTGAGAAATCCTACTCACTGCCTTCTCGCGGCATTACTGTTGTATTCGAAATTGAGAAGACGAAAATAGAAGGTCCGGTGCTTACACCTGTTCAGTGACTACGCAAGGTTCATCTGGTGGGGTTGCAAAACCCTAATATCAAGCCAATGGTGTACATGGGCTCCAGGATCCTGAGGGAAAAATGGCTCGTGAACCCATTCTTGGCCACCGTTTATGATGGGACCGCATCTCTTAACGTCGTTTTACTGCCTTGGGGATTTTTCGTGCTTTGTTGATTTGACACCAACTTGATTGAATGATGATGTTAACAAGATAAAAATGCCGCCAACTCTCGTATATAATTATCGATTTAGTTTGCGTTAGAGAACAACGGAATAAAATAAGTTGAACATGAGAATTTTGGATACGTATACTTCACACACCTATTGACCCCGAGCAAATGTCACTCAATATTTATAGCCAGATAAAAGTAAGCCAAAGATGTGATACATATACATATGTTCATATAGAGATAGTCAAGGTTAATAAGCGAATAATTGACAAGGTCAAAATGTGACTCAAGAATAAATAACGTGGTCTGTCCGGAAGCTAGCGTTCCCATGTGGGCTTGACATAGTGCTAGATACTACAGATTAGACCTCTGAGTCAAAGGTTTATTATTTTTTTATTTGAACACATAGATATTGGTAAAAGTAGGCACCAAATACATATGCGCCACACAAATCTCACTTGATTTGTTTGAGGGCTGTGATACTGCCCGGGTGCCCAAACCGAAGCAGATGGTTTTTTCAGGCCACACTCGGAGCATTCGACCTGAAGGTCTGATCCACAAAGCAGTGGAGCATTGTAAGGAGATGCAGTCCCATAATAGCCGGTGACCAATGATTGGTACATACGCCATTTGTTCCTTCAGGATACTGGAGCCAGCCCATGTGCACCACTGGTTTGGAATCAGGGTTTTCCAACTCTTCTAGGTGAATTCTCTGTGTCCACCAACCCGGTTAAAGCGCCGGACATTCGCTTTAGGTCCTCTGATTTTCGTAAACAACACCCCGGCCACGAGGAGTCAGCGAGTAGGACTTCCTTGGTAGAGGCTATATACTCGTGGCCATGTGAGAGGATTTTGGGAGGGTGAGCGGACTCTCTCCACTCTCGGACGTGCCAGGGCATTTGGGGGCCTGGGTCAAAGGCTAGGGGGTCGAGCCCTTAAAATCCACCTGTTTAGGTTTGAGAAGCTGGAGGGTATCCCAGCTCACAAGCAAATTGAGTGGTAACTACGTTGTGTGGGGCATATATATTTTGTTGCGTTTTTGTACCGATATTTATGTGTTTAAATAAGTAAATAAATTCAAGTGGATAAGTGAATCGCCTAGTTAAAGATCAATCCCTGAGGGATTAGACAGAGATACTATCTCATGAGAAAGTTAACTAGAAATGCGAAAGTAAGTAGCCCCGACGAACACCATTTGAAGTTGATGGTTCGTCACAACCATTGACTCGACCAAAAGTGTTCGAATAGAAAATTTTATCAAGGTTCACGTACCTCTTTGAAACTTCTTTCTATGATTAACACTGCTATGTGAGGTTTTCATTAACGGAACCGAACGCTGTTCTCATGTCATGAAATGCCACTACTATGAGACGATAATGGGTGTCGGAATGCTCTAGAACCTGACAAAAGGTTGGTATCTGATCAATACATTCAAGTTCAAATTTGAAACCAATCCGACTTTCTTAAGCCCAACACCACAAGCTTCAATTAAGCTCCAGCTGATTATTGAGGCTAATATTTCAGATAAAATGAAACTGCCGGAGCGAATTCAATAGTGGAGATAGTATAGGTACCATTAAAAAGGTTATGCAACGAAATTCTAAATTAGTGAAATGAAAAAAATAGGTTTTTAAAAACATAGGATCTAAAGAAAGCTAAAGAGTGAATCCATCTGCGCGATTGTGAACAATTTCGAGCTATATCATACAAAGTCTCTGACGACTGGTTACGATAATCACGAGGAACCTAACCAGGTAGTAGGCACCTACCATACAGCTCAGTTCAACAGTTTGCTTCTTCGTGCACTAATCCTGTTTTGGTTTTGCCGCCTCTAGCTGTTTTCTAACTTATTTCTATACTAGACAAATGCTTTAGTCCTTATTGTATTCCGAGCCAGATGAGATGAGACTTCAAACATTTATCAACTGAGTAAACACTACTGAAATCTATTATTTCCCAACCTTATAGTATGAGTTACTGGTAGATCTCACTGCTGTTTCTCCGGCTGTCTGGATATTATGCTAATCCATATTAAGATAAGTGTCACATTAGAGGTTGACTAACTGCTTTCCCCATTGTTTCTGAAATATACTATGTACTTCATAGTAAAGCTGAACTATTTGGGGTCTTCTTGATCTAGATTTTCTGGGTCTAGTATGACGCAAACAAACACGTTCTCTTACTGGAGCAGGATCAGAGTCTAGACATGTGCCACAGAATGAGCAACAGTCTCCTATTGAGCCTCTCCAACGATCACTAATCACAGTATGGTCCTGATTGAGGCTATCGTTGAGTTAATTCTACTGGTCGCCATGTCGGACGATGTCTCTCCTTATGCTTAAAATTGATACTTTTTAGGAATAAACGGTTGTCTGGATAGATGCTCGTCGTCATCTGTTCGTTGGGCTGGGACGCAGTAAGGTCCATCTAAATGTCTTCTATTTCACTTGAAACTACCTACTTGGGTGATAAAACCACTGCTACAATTCAGTCAGACAGTCAGCTACAACGTAGGACCAGGCACATATGTGCATCGGTCCAGGTTGCCATACCGCATCAGCACAACAAGATGAACACCGGATTCATAGCAGTGGTTAGGTCAAAGGTAGTAATATGTAAGAGAAAGATTGCATATGGAGATATAGTACAAGAAGAAAGAATTGGTTCGTAGAAAGAAAGATGTGAAGCGATTTTAATCTCTTAGTTTAAGGGAAGACAGGGAGTGTATACACCGACGCCATTGTGATCGATTCTGAGCCATGTCACCAAGAGTCTCCAACCATTCGTTACGATAGTCACGCGGACCCCAACCAAGTAGTCTGCATCTACCAACATGGCTCAGACTAGAAGTTAGTGACTTCAAGCACTGATGCCACGTTTTGGTTTGGCCGCCCCTAACTTTCTTCCAACCTTCTCCAATACCGGATAGCATTGCACATCGTGGTAATCGGTGTTCAGGCATACGTAACACGTGGCCCAACCATCTCAGTCGATGAAGATTTATAACCTCATCAACTGATTTGCCATCATTCCCTAATACCCTGTGTCTAACCTCACTATTACTTACCCGGTGATCCCAGCAGACGTCAGCAATATTTCTAAGGCATCTGTGGTCAAATACTAATAGCTTACGAGTGTCATCTACTCTTAATGGCCATGTTTCGCTGCCGTAAATTAAAACAGAACGGACTGCCGCGCAGTATACTCGTCCGACCGTTGTTGCTACCTTGACGTGGTGGTCGGGCTTGCCTATCGTGATGAAGCAACCGAGCTATACTGGCTGGAACAACCGTTCCTCAATGTCCTACCATGTCAGACAGGTCGGTTGAAGAGCGTTAAGACTAAAAGCAACAAACCCAAGATCCGAAGGCGAAGTCGTACTGCTGACTGTACAGAGGTGTGACAGCAGTAAGGTGTTCCCTTCAGACAACCAGCATGACAGCGATGCTGCTTTCTCACAAGGAGGGGTGGGGTTAGAAAAGGTCGACCCTAAAAATGCACACCTCACCTTACCTCACGGATTTCCGTCTCCGGCGATAAGGCCCTTTGAAGAACGGAGCTAGCACGTCAAAAACCTCCCACGAAAAGGCCGTACGCGACCGGCCTCAAGCAGTTGTCCCTTGGGCACTGCGGTCACGCTCTCAAGACACTGAGACCGCCTCTAATCCAATTTCCTTTTCAGGTACCTCCAGAAGAACCCTTCCACGGTGTGGGCAACCGGGGAGTGATAACCGCCCTCATACCTCTAACAGCACTCGAGACCACTGTATTCATAATCAACCTTCCTCTTCAATTCCTATTATTCCTCCTACATCGACTTTCAACAACTGCTACAATTACGTCTAAGTGTTTGACTTCTTGTAGAAGAGACAGTCCTTTTTCAAAACTCATCCTTCAATTGATCCGAACTGCGATCATTGGTAACGTAGGCAGAGAGGATGAAGAGACATTGGTGTGTAATTAATCCACCGAGTTCCTATTATCCTTTTAGTCAGAAAGTGCATGAGCTGCAATCTACCGAAATTTAGTTTACAAGAACCTGCCCTGTTCAAAACTTTAAAGCCCAAGATGTACTTCAGAGTGTGGTACTAGCATACTAAGAGTAACACTGAGGAATTGAATCGCTAGCGTTGGCAGGACAAAGCTGGAACTGTAGGAGAAGACTTTATGGTAGGATTAAAAGAAATGTCGAATTAGATGAGTACTTTATTTAGAGTTTCCCAAAGGCTACCCTCATCCAAGAATGACCACGAATCCGCAAGCCCTAGTACATGACTAGTAGGATGATTGAGCGAAAATTTAAAATTTTCAGTTCTGCGCTCTATGTGATATTTAGGAAGCACACTATTAATTCACACGGTGTTTTGGAAAAATGGCTACTTTTTACTCATCCGGTTATATGATGACTGTTTCGATTTCAAGAAATTAATAACCAACTGAAATATTATCATATTCTCAAGATTAATGGTTTCAAAAACTCACCGTACGTAACCTCAAAAATTAAATGACTTACAAGATCCTTCAAATTCATATTGCAAGTGAATCGAAATGTCTCTCTCTATCCGAAACAGTAGCAGGATTAGGATAAAAAAACTAAAAAAGATAAGAATGCATAAAATATGACTAAAATATATATGCCTAAGAAGAATCTTTTGTAAAAATAAATAAGGCGAACAACCCGAAAGCAAATAAACTTATGTGCAAATTAACAACTTTCATAACGACCTGAAAATGGCCCAATCACAGGAAGTTTCATTAACGTGTGATATGCGTTTAGAATGGTCTTTCTCATGAAAGCTAGTAGAAGGTCAAACATATGTCGAAAAGAAGTTATGAAATGGGAAGGTTGCGCTACCAGTTACATCGTGATATGAAGTGGAAAATAAGAAACATGACTTATCTATCTCCCTAACCTGCCACACACAATAGTGATACGACAAAGGAAAACAAAAGGTACAAAAGAATGTCAAGCGCATTATGATGATAACGAACTATAACATAGATGGAAGTGAATTAGAAGAGAGGAAAAGCATAGGATTTTAAAATGCAGATGGTATATTTAAGTGTCTAGCACTGTTTTTTTAATTTTTTTCAGATTTCGTGAACTTATTTCCAACCTTATCGAGGAGAAAGAATTTGCGTAGATGATGAAAACCAACTCCCAGAGTTTATGGGTTTGCAAAGCAGCATGTCCGCCCTTAATCTATTCCAGACATGTCTGCATACGAGCTAACATAACATATAGAAGTCGTGTGTGTGTACAGGCACGTAACATATCTCAACTAATTCAAACAATGATGGCTTAAGATCTAGTTGGCCACTACCTTGACTAATCAACTACAGAGACAAGGCCAAAAGGATGTGCATTTGTAAATACTTGTTTGTATGCTATGTCCAGTAATTATATTTTGTCATAGGACATAACATTGTAATTTTCTGAGACATCCATGACATTCAATACGGATAAATATGTGTCACACGTGACAGATGATGTAATTTGGCAAGATCAACACTTTGTTTACTCAACAAACGAATGGCCCCAAAATTAGTTGTGGTGGGATTCAACGTATTTAAAATCTCACAGAAAAATCAAGTCACTATATTATTATACTTCTCTTCTCAAGATTCTCTCATGCATACCACTTTGCACACAGATGGACGAGACGCGTAATGCTGCAAATCCATTAGTTACAGCAAAAAGACAAAACCGAAAGGAATTTATTCCATACATAGATAAGTTTCGATCGACTATACGACATAATGGACCGGCTTAGGATCTTGATTTGTTTCAACGGTAAGGAATTGTATATCAGTTTTGATGGGCTGATAGCAAACAATACCAAGGTGTTAAACATTAGAATATAGGTAATAATCAGAACATAAACCAAAGTGAAATATTTGAATAGTTGGTTAATATTAATTAGCGACTCACTAATACAGCTGGAAGTTAAAAGGAAACAACCTCTAGAACTTGAAATAAGCGTGATGATTGGACAAATATAGAACTATGGTTAAGCTAGGTTCGAACTGATAAAACATGTTAAAATCGAAGTATTTCTCAACGGTGAGAAACGAGTACAACTAAATTCAAACTCGTGTAAGAAGTTACCCTGAAAACACCGCTTTTTGACTGATCAGGAACGACAACGTTCCCACTCCCGTACATATATATCTACACATTCAGTAGACTATAGTCTAGTGTATACAGTTGATTACAATGTATATTGATATACATATATGTCTGATAAAAAGCTTGAATATCAAGGGAAGATACTTCACAAGAATTTTTCAGAAATGCGAATCAGTAGTACTTTGTAAGAAACTGTTATTTAAACTCCTGTCTACCTTGTGGAATGTTACGCAACTAGAGTAAGAACTCACAGTAGCGCAGGCTTCAAACTTCCTGAGGCCTTTTGGGAAGCATATTGGGTCGTATGTGGTGTTACCTTCAAAGTGCTGGAATGAAACTGAGACGATTTTGGTTTCTAATAACTTTTAATCAAACGATTTTATTTATAACGAACTGGAAATTACTCTCAGACCAAGGCCCACAGTTTTGTTCTTATTCTCCCAGAGTAGTACGGATTATTTTCTCTTAGGATTACGAAAATGTGGTGTTTGAACGAACTAATAATATCCTTGTACTTGTTGAATGCTCGATTTCGAATTCCAAATACACTACATTCGTTTGTGCTTGTGTCTCACTTCTTAATTCAATTGCGTTAACTCTGGGATTCCTAGTTCATAATACAATTCAAATAATTCAAAACACTATATTGGCGTCGCGATGGAGCCTGTAATCGAAAAGTTAGATATTCATTCAACTTCGGAAGCTTTTGAAGATTACTTTGAAAGGTCCGAACTCTGGGCTATGATCAAGAAAGATGATGAGGATTTTATTATTGTGGCACACTTCCTCACACTCATTGGAAAAGAAGCATACAGCTTTTAAGAATTCCAACTGTGCCGGAAAAGTTCATTTCGCTTCCTTATACAACTCTCAAGGAACTGCTGCTAGACTATGTTAATTATACAAATTTCGAATGCGTTAAAGGAGGAAGATCTCGTAAAATGATTCATGAGGATATAAAAAACACCACTACATTACTACGTCATCCCAACCCAGTGCATACTCAAGGTTATGCAGACAATTCATTGAGTTTGGATGCAGTTCACGAGGATGGGGACAAGTTTGGTCAGTGTTTGTCCTGTTGCAAGTTCCACTCTTCTAATTCATGTCAATTTCGTAATTCTAAGTGCTTCAAATGTCGTGATATTGGAAAAGTTCGGTCGGTTTGTAATGCTAATGTTCATCTTACTGCAACTAATATTATGTTCTGTAATTCTGATTCTACTGAGTCTAGTATTCATGATGATCATTTATCTTTATCAACGATTTCAAAAGACAGTACAGAGTCGAACTGCAGTTCAGAGTTAAATGAAATCCAGAATTCTTGTGAGACAACAGTTCCTAATCAACCGATTTATCAGAATTCTCATGCTATTGTACCAGGTATGACTTTTCCTAATGATTCACATATTTCTAATGAAATTACTTGCAATTCTGGGGAAAATATGTTCAATGAACCTAATCATGATCGAAAACCTGATGTGGTTTGGATAAATGCTGATTTTTCTAACGATCCCACGCTCTGCAATGACAGTCCTAATGAATTTCATAAGAATATTTCAGAAGAATCAAATCTTGATGTCATATCATATATTACCTATCCTCATAATGTATTTGATCCTTATGAAAAACCTGCTCAATGCGGAGCACGAGTACTAAGTGACCTCGAGTTTGATTACATTTCGGATGATTTCATATCAACTGCTGTTTACCCTTATCACAAAAACAGTTCTAGTGTTTACTCTAAACAATGTGAGAAATATGTTTTAAATGAAGCCACATTATTCATAACTTGGGGATATAAAGATCCAACATTATTTCGTGGGGGAGGATAATGTTGAATAATCTATGGTCCAAATTCTAGATATTAATGATGTAGGATCCAAACTACGGTTTGGATGTTGAAGAATAGCCGACCGGGGACTTTAGACACGCGCCCTTTCCCGTCGAAATCAGAACAAGTAATCGGGTAAATAGCGGTTCTATAATTCATAATAAATTTAATGTAAATCATTACCTAAACAAATATTATCACCCGGCTATTCAACCAATGATTGTTCAATCAATTAAATCTGAATTACAATAAATAAAGAAGTTGATAGAAGATGAGGAAAAATTAACAATCACAACAAATCAACGTTATTCTATCCTGGCTGGATAGATTACACACAACAGGAGGAACAAATCAATATGGCTACCGCCAAGAACAAATGTCAAGTAAAACAACGCAGATGCAGTTCAGGAAGAAACACAAACTTAGTGAATGTGTAATAAAAACAAAAACTATAACAAAAATACAAATATTAACAATTCAAATGTAATCAAAATACAACAATGTACAACTAGTGTGATCAATAGTACAAGTATATACATGGAGGGATTTTCACCAACCCACAAGACCTTCAAAATGGATCTTACAAATGATTTCAGTACAAAACCGACATGCTGGTTGTATAGAATTCCAGGTGAGTTTGTTCCGATTTCGTTTGTTAATTCCAATACTAATGAGCACTTTCTGGATACTACAACGTTTTTATCTTATACAATGTCGGACATACTCAGGATGAACTTAACAAGAAGACGTACAACCGATTACAAACACTTGTACTTCTATTTAAGCTGTGACGGATGTGGTGTTTGAACGAACTAATAATACCTTAGTACTTGTTGAATGCTCGATTTCGAATTCCAAATACACTACATTCGTTTGTGCTTGTGTCTCACTTCTTAATTCAATGGCGTTAATTCTGGGATTCCTAGTTCATAATACAATTCAAATAATTCAAAACATTATAGAAAAGCAACTTCCATCAGAAACACCTACATATATTTTTTCTGTAGAAACAGGGTCTCAGTCTTGCATATTCAGAGGACATATATCGTATGCATATGACCATAAATCCATCTTTATATTTCACACGACCAAATTCTATCACTTTCAAAACATGTATAATCATATATGACGAAGGGTTGTATTTCAGCATTTGCATACTGCACCTTATATATTATTTGGATTGTGCAACTCACATACTTCCTGGATTTACTAGTTCATTTTAGACCTCAATCTAAGACTCGAAACTACATATTCATACATCATGAACCATCATAGTCTAGGCCATGAACACTATTTTATATGATATTCTTTAAATTGTATTTGGATACTTTAACTCATTTACTTCCTCTAATAATCATTTTAATTCTGTGAGTCTGTCATAATTTTTGGTCAGTATTTTTACATACAAAGCCGTCTTTTCTATTTTGGTCATAAAGTATCATATTAATTCTGGGTTGTATTAATCCTCTTTAAATCTACATGACTCTGCAGTCTCAAACTTTAACTCATGCTGGCTTTCAGTATGAATATGCACCACATACACTACCTATTTCGGTCGTTGAATATTGCTTTATAGTATAACGTATATCTTTCCGTGTAATCTCTAGATTAAAATATATCCAATGTGAACACTTTTCGTTCTATTCTATTGCTAAACGTACTTCCATATTGCATCTCTGCCACTACACCCGCTTGCTCGCGATACAACTACTGACACGATTTCTGGCAGTTTTTATGAGTACTGCCACTCGATTTATCAAGAACGGGACAAGCTTATGCCAGTTCTTGTCATTTCAGACATGCTGGGGTTCTAATGACAAATAATGATGACAATGGTCACTACAATCATACTGATTATATAAGGAAGTTGCAAGCTAATATCAACGTTCTTAATTTGTTTAAGTATCTTATCAAACCCAAACTCGCGGGGAATGCAGATCATATGAACAGCATATATAATTTCATGGGTGATGTTGCCTCAGAGATTTCGAATGAATGATCCATAAATGTAATATGATTGATACACTGGACATGTATTCCCTAGAAAATATCAAGTCTAATCTGCTTTAATCCAGAGAAATAACATGTGTATGCACAAGATTAAAAGTCACCCTGGTAAGTATTCACCTGTCTTGTTCAAATTCGACACATCTGTAGATGTCAGTGAGTTTCTAACTTTCTTCAACGTGATCAGACAAAAACAGATATTCAGGGGTGTTAAGATTCTTCTAGATGAGGGTAGTTACAAACCAACAGCGTCAAAATTCTGAACGTATCCTAGTTCGAGAGGTCATAGAATTAAGTCTGATTGTGCGAGAACATTTCAATTAACAAGTTTGCCACCACTGAAAATTCTCCTGAAACTCTTAAAATTCAGAACTCAGAACAAAGTTACCGAAATGTAAATGGTGTCCATTCTTCTAAAAATGTTGGTTCGAATTCGATCGTAAACAGACCTCCCGATAACAAATCAAATGACACAGTTGAACTACCTGTCAGTGCAATACGCAGTTGCAGTAACTACGCGAGTGTAAACGGGCAGAATGGATGCAACAATTACTTAACCGACCATGCAGTAAACACCGATATACTCGAAATTTGCAAACATCCGAAGGTATTCTTAATAACTATAGGTTCCCACTGGGAAGGAATAAAACAAAATACTAGCCTTGTAAATAGATGTCTAGAACATGTTACATATACTGTAGGAAGCAATTTCCTACAGATTCAACTCTAAGCTAATCTCTAAACTGTCAAATACAGAGTCTTGGTTTAGCCAAAGTCATAACAAGTAAGCAATTTGGCTCGATAAACTTTAACTGTTTCTAAAATATAGATTAACATCGGTAGTGTACAAACAAGCAGTACGGTCTATTAATACAGGGAAAAACAGGGACAAATAACATACCGAACAGTAGGCAAAGAATAGGAAAAATGAGTCAACAAAGCAAAATTGTTTTACAATGAACATCAAACTGTGATTGGTTAATAAAGAGATACAGTCGCACAAGGTCAAAGAGAGTCAATGCGGTGGTGGGTGTTTCACTTTATTATTGGTGGGCTCGTCTATCGATCACATTTTACATATACCTCCTATATAAATACTTGTCCGAGTTTTGAGCGACCACTTGATCGCTTACATAGACATGATGACGTTTTTCATCCGGCTCCCAAATTGTACAACATGCTTCTGTCAGATATTTGTTACAATCAAGGGACGTTTTCGGCTTTCCTCAGGCTTCTCTGACGCGAGCGTAAATACATTAGAACTGATAACAAGTACTTCTATTTTAGTGGGGCTTTGAACAGTCTCTCACACAACTTTCTTATTGTTCTGGAACATGTTTTCATTTAGCATGTGGAATCCCAACATATCTTTATTCAAATCTTCTCAGCAGAACGTGGCTAAATCATTCTCTTTGAATCTTTCTAACTTAAGTCTATAAATATAA